CACCATAACTAGAAGGTAAGACCCTATTGCTAAAGATGTCACTCACTTATGACGTTCAACAAAGAGCAATCAATCTTGAACTGACCAGGAAACTGCTGGCTAGCTTGTACAGTGCCAGTGGTGCTATGCAGTCCACTGGGGACAAAGAGCCACCAGTAATCTTATACAGCTATGACCCTCGCTTGCAACAACAGTGACCTGATAGCAGAAAGGGCCCACTGGAATAGAGTGCCACAGCTAGGCAGGTAACCAGTCACTTTCTGATTGGATGTGAGGCCTGCTCCACAGGAAGAATGTCATGCCTGGTACTGTAAACCTGGTCAAAAGCCCATGACTGAGGAGATCAGAGGCCCTGTGGCAGGTATCTACTCATGTTTTCCGCTAAATGATCCTCCTACCAACACTAAGGGAACTTCCAAGAAGGGACAGGCAGCGTGTAAGAGCAGGCAGATGGGGAGGGGAGCTGTGCAACACTGACTTTTGGACATCGCGGGGCTGATGCAGGCATCAAGTCACGATCGTTAGTGGATGACTCCACGACCGTGTGAGCGCGTGGGCAGCATTAATTGTGTTCAAGGAGTAATTGACAGCAAAATTAAAAAAAAAAAAAAAAAAAAAAAAAAAAAAAAAAAAAAAGAGGACGTGAAACTGGAGAGGGAGGGGTGAAGACGCTAGAGGGCGCTAGAGGGATGTAGTGAGTATGTCGACATAATCAACAGTCTCATAAGCATATGGAACTCTCCAAGAGTAAAAAATAAATAAATTAAATAAATAAACAAACAGAAGATTCAGGGGTGGGGCACACGACATACTGAGGACATTCTGGTGAGTCGGGGATGGATGTGTGAAGCTCCACCCTCTCTCTAAAGGCAGGCAGACTTGGAAGCAAACTTGGCCTCTGGCTGGGGGGGGGGGGAACGGGTAGAGGCTCCAGGCCTGCAGTTACGCAGCCTGCCGGTAGGAGGCGCTGTGGCGCCGCTCCGGGCGTCTCTAACCGCGGGGGCTAGGGAGGGGCCCGCACCCCGCCCGCCTGGCCTTGGGAAAGAGGCCAGCGGGACCTGGACCCCACCCTGTGCTGTGGCCGACACGTGGCAGCCCCAGTCCGCCAGCCCAGCCTGGGTCCAAGGTCCTGTCCTGCGCAAGGACAAGGGCGGGGGAGTTCTTGACTGCTGTGTGGTCAGAGCGGTTCTCTGTTTTCTTGTGGATGCTAGGGTGCCCTGAGAGCACAGGCCCTTAAGGTAGAGCGTCAAGAATCTTTTCTGAATTCATGGATTTTCCAGACTCTGGATTCTTCACCCAGATCTGGGGGCCAGGGACTGTTAAAGGACTGTGCTTCGAACACTTAGGAAACTTAGAACAAAGGAGAAAGGGAATGTAAACTATGTCATTAGGAAGGCTTAATTGGTTATAATGCTTGAACATGCTGGATTAAATAAAATGTATAATTATAATCCATTCCCCTATGTTGTTAGTGTGGTTTTAGCTTATCAGAATATAATGCTATTCAAAGTGCCTGAGGAACGCTGTGAATCCATTTACCAAAAAGGGAGAAAGAAGAAAGTTCCCAAGGAATCTTTCATGTGTTTTCCGGAGCCACCACAATCGCGTGTGGCGCTGTGATTAAGACACCCATGGGGAGCGGAGCTCACGTTGTGTGTTACTACCGGCTCTCTCAGCGTCTGGCCTCCTGTTAACACCCCAGCTTTAGCCTGTTAAAACCCCTTCTTAACATCCTAACTCTGCTTCGTAGTATCCTGCCCTGATGTCACAGTTCAGCACCGTGGCTTCACTTGGGGAGCGGTCGAGATCCTCAAGTCCTCTGTGGGTGGCAGCACGGAGCTGTCTCCTGCCATACACCAGCATCACCACAGCTATCATGCTATCATGACCAGTCCTTCTGCCCCTGTCGCCGCCCTGCCCCACCCCGCCCCGCCATTGGTCCGCAAGCACCTGCACATGTCTTGTGTTTTCCTTTCTAAGCCCTTCAGCTCCATAAATTACGTGGAAGCTGAAAACACGTTGGTCTCTCTGCGTCCTTAGGTCTAACACACTTAGCCCTTCTGTGAAAGCTCACTGCAGAAAAAAAAAAAAAAACACCCCAGACTGGTTCATCCAGAATGCTGGGCCAAGAACTCTTCTGCTCCTCCCCCCAGCTCCCTGGCATTTCAGAGTAACCCCTGGCCCTGCTCTCTAGATCCACCCACCACCCGCCCATTCAGAAGAGTTCAGAATGGGGCTGGAAAAATAACTCTGCACTCATTGCCCTTGCAAATGATCCAAGATCCAGTTCAGTTCTCAGCACCCATAACTCCGACCCCAGGGGCTCCACAGCCTCTTCTGACCTTCATGGGCATTGTATTCAACACATACAGATAGACGCATATACCCATAATTAAAAATAAAAGTAAAAATCTATTTTTTAAGTAGTTCAGAATGCCTGGTGGGTGCAGACCGGGTCTGTATTTTGATAACCTGGGTCTTTAACACTTAAACATTATCAACCTTGACCCTGCTTTTGTTGCCTGCCTCTGAAGAGAGACTTCATGGGCAGAGTGAAGCAGTGTAAGTTCAAATACTCACTGCAAAGGTCAGAGCCCACAGGATCCAAGACTTTCGGCCATCTTACAGCAAAATGACGCTGGGTTTAGATCCCTTCTGTCTTTAAGATGAGGCAGTCATCTGAGAAGTAAGAAGTATGAGGTCTCAGAGCTACACCCTGAAGTTCATTTCTATCCTGCAGTGTATGAGCAAGAACCATTGGTAAAGACAGGGGTGGGGATGGCCTGAGAGAAAGCAGGAGGCAGAGGATAAGTGCCCTGAAAATGGACTTACAGAGTCTACCGTAAAGGTAAAAGAGCAACAACTAGAGAGGCTGGGGTGGTGCAGACTGAGTCTGTGTGCCCACAGAAAAGAAAGATGCAACTTGTTTCTATCAGAAAAACAAAACAAACAACATCCACAAAAACCTGACCAGAGTGCATTGATCCCCATCTAGAGCAGAGCCCACATAGCCTTGAAAAGCCCTGAGCCACCAGTGTGCTTTGCTCGTTCTCGTTAAACTAACACCCACAGCGTCCCGGGTGTCATTCGGGATTGGGAGAACTGCCAGAACCTCACTTCCTCTCTTATTCTTTTTTTTTTTTTTTTTTTTTTTTTTTTGGTATGGGGGGTGGATTTTTCTTGCATGTGTGTTTATGTACCACGTGTGTACCTGGTGCCTGCAGCAGCCAGAAGAGGCCATTGGATCCCATGGAATTGGAATGACAGACAGTTGTGAGCTGCTGTGTGGGTGCTGAAAAATGGACGCAGGTTCTCTGGGAGAACAGCAAGTATTCCTTATTTCTGAGCCATCTCTCCTGTGTTTCCCCACCCCACCCCCAAGCTGCCGTCACATCAAATCCAGTAGATTCTGTGTGACAAGTTCCACAGACTGAGGCAATAACTTCAAAAGAAGAAGGTCTCCTGGAAACGGCTGTGGAACTCTCTGCCGGAGAAAAGTATTGAGCCGTAGTTCTCATGGCAATCTCTGTTTCTCTATTCTTTTCAAATATTAACTAAATGTTCCTGAAAGCTTATGCTGACATTTTAAACAAAAGATACAAATGAGAAACTGTCCCCTGAGACGTGGTCACTGACCATGACCCTGTCTCCAGGAGAGCAGCGATTTTAAATCATTCACATAAGTATAAGTAGTATCGATAAAAACTTTCCCAACAGTAAAATTTCATAGGGCTGTATATGTGTAACTGAGAGTAAGTTTAAACATTTAATAAGAAAAAGTCAAAATAATTCAATATTTCAAAGATTCTTAAGAGCTAGGCAACAAATATTAAATAATAACTGACCATAAAAATGTATTAACCTCATCTTAAAAAATAGGCAGTTTCTGATTTATTGTTAGCCTTAAATAAGTTGTATGTTACTGTGCCTAACAATGATGATGTCATTTGTTCTATCTGGATTTGCTTCAACAAACACAATCTCTGAGAAGCTATCCTGGATAAAAAGCCTTGTATGAAAGTGCAAAATATACTCAGATTCAAACTGCCTCTGTATTTGTTTCTGTTTGTCACTGCCGAATCCTTACCCACCTAGTCCCTCATCCCAGGGACCCCCATGCCCAGCTGAGATGGTCCACACACACACACACACACACACACACACACACACACACACACACACACACACACACACTTTGGTTCTTTATTCCTCCTGTGTGTGGTTCCTTCACTGAGGCCCTCCCAGAGACAGGCACACTGTTTGGAGATGGACCATTGGCTGACTGATCTGTGCTGTTTCCTCGATGCCAAGTCTAGGCAAAAAGCCCCACCTTCCTTGTCTTCCAAGAGTTGTACAACAAGGCTAAGAAGTGAGGTCAGGAGATTTCAAGATGAAGCATACAGAGGTGGCAGATCAAAGGACCCCAAAGTTATGTTTATTAGCCATTGGCTGAGCCCAGACTAAGTGTGCTGGAGGATCAGAGCTGAGCCTGCTGGCCCTCAGTGCATGGGCTTCTGTCTGGAGGAAGGAAAGGGCCATTTATCTTCCATAGGGCTCACTTAGGAGCCAGTCACAGGCAACAGCAGAGTGGAATGGGCTGCTTAAGCGATCTGGCTGCAACATGCTGGATTTCCCACTGCCCAACACAGAGATCAAAGGATGCAGCAGAGTAAGCCAAAACTGGTTTACTACCCAGGTTGAAGGGATGCTGGATGGGATTCCAGGCAGGTATGCACACAAGAGCTTGTGTCAGCCAGGTGCGGGGTCATGTGGGCTGTGGTCTTGCCACAAGCAATGCCACCCAGACAGGCTCCTGTGTGTCTTCAATAGACAGCAAGATTTCCCCGGGACAGACAGACCACACACACTAGAGTCAAGTTCTGCACGTCCCACCTCCACCCAGGCTTCCTGACTATCTAAGACCCAACCTCCGCAGCCAGTAGCAATTTCCACTTTGTAAAGCCTTCTCCTATCCCTGGTCTCATCAGCTGACTTGACCAAGAGGTCACTGTTGGCTTCTGCCTGGTGACTTCTGCTGTGCCCCCTGCCTTATCCCAGCACTTCTGGTGTGGAGATCCTGCTTCCTCTTGCCCTGGGGACCTGGGGACCACACTCTGCCTCTCTTCTTGGTACCAGGCCCTCTTGAAGTTTTCTTTCTGCTTGTGGAAGAAGTTGGCTTCTTGGGGGAGCCATTCTGAGATGCAGTCTTGTCTGAGTCAGAAGCTAAGCTTGCATTGGACGGTCTTCGAGTCGCTCTCTGGGACTCCTCCTTCAGTGAGTCCAAAACTGTGGCTGGAAAGGTAAACATTTATTCAGTGAGAAAGCAACAATCCAGGAAGCAGCTGTGAAAGGCACTAAGGAACCTCACAGCTTCCTAAGAGACAGGGCTTTTGCTGAGTACTCCAGGCTCAAGCAATTCTCCTGTCTCAGCCTCTGGAGGAGCTGATACTGGAGATGCTACCACACCCAGCTTTCCATGATATCAATTCTTTGTATTGATATTGATTCAATATCCTTCTCTGGCCTTGTGGACTGGAGTCACTCCAGAGATGGGATGCCTGGATGGTACCCTTCCTCTTGCAAGTCTTCTGTGACTCCCTATTGTACCACAGTGCCCTGAATACCCTGCTGTACCAGATCCTCATGATGTACTTATTTCTCTGTGTCCTCCTCCCGCATGACTTGGAATTTGTGCAGGTCAGAGATGTCAAACATCCATTGCTACAGCCCCAGGCTTAGCATAGAACTCTCCACAAAATAAGCAGTAACAATTATCACCAAACGAATGAATATATAAATGATTACATGAATGAACGAACGAACGAATGAATGAATGAATGACAGGTCACAGCAGAAGCATCTCTCCCATTAATTCCTGTCTGCAGGATGGTTGTATACACAGAGCTCCAAGTTATTAATCTCACATCTCTTAAGAGAGAAACTGTCTGTAACCACTGAAACTCAAGGTGGCTCAGTCATTAAGAACCCTCATTGCTCTGTCAAAGACCCAGATTCAGTTCCCAGCACTCACACCATAACTCACAACCAACTGTCACTCCAGTTCCAGAGGGTCTAAAGCCTCATTCTAGGCTCTGTAGACTCCTGCATATACACAGTGCACATATGTTAATACAGGCAAAACATCTTACAAAAAGAAAATAAAGTATGACCCTCCACCCTGGGGATTTGCTATGGACATGGCTGCACTAATGGCTAAAACAAAAACTCAGAAAGCGACTCACCAGCGAGTGGCCGGAATGGGGTCTTCTTGGTTTTGGTTTTCACTGGCACGGGCTTGTATCTGCATGCACCTGGTGGGGCTCGCCTAGAAACACAGGCAGAAAGGGCAATGATACAACTGGAAGACACAACCTGGAAAGCAAGATCAGCATAGGGTGCACGTCCGCTATAACTGGGGTGGGCTCTTCCTTGTCCACAGGGCAGGATGGATGTGACAGGAATGTGCTGTGAGCTCAGATGGAGTGGAGAAAGGGTACTCAGGGCCTTCAGGAGACACTGAGAAAAGGAGATCAGCAATGGGCCTGGTGATAGGCACAACCGGGTCCACAGCTGAGTAGCCCAGGACACCTTGCAAAGTCTCAATGTATGTTTCTATGAGACGTAATAATAACAGCAATAATAATGGTTTCCAATGGCTCACAGAGAGATAGTGAAGTTTAACTGAGAGCCAGCTGTGTGCCTGGCAAACCATAAGTGATTGATGAAGAATGGAGTTCAAAAATAAAACACTGGACAAGGCCCAGCACATACTAAGTGCTCAGTAGAAGACAGTGATGACAACGATGATGATGGCGATGATGACAGACATGGTGATGGGAATGGCAACTGTTATGGCAATGGCAATGGGGAATTCCTTCAAAGGGTCCTGACACAGAAATTAAGAATGGCCCACCTCTGTAGCTAGCATCATGCTCTTTCTTAAATGCCATGTCCCTTTGTGCCATTCCTGAAATAAACTGTGCTTTTGGCTGGAACCCCCAAGCCATTCCTCTGTGCCTTCACCACTTGATCCCAGCTCTGTCTGGCAAATGGCTTAACTTGACTGGCTTGCTCATCCTGTCAACATGCGTGTGCATAATGTGGTCCCCAGTGCACAGTGATAATAAACTCCATGACAAAAAGAGGTGGGGGGGGGAAGCCAGTCTTTGTGACCCACACTTACAGTCCAAGCACTCAGAAGGCTGAGGCAGGAGGATTGCCTTGAGTTCAAGACTACATAATGAGTACCAGGCCAAACTAGACAATACTATGAAACACCCCCTCAAGAAAAATAACATGTTTACCACTGCTTTCTATCTGGTTTATTCACAGCTGTTCTTGGAAAGAGAGATTATCTCCTAGGCAAACTTAATCATAAAAATACCAAAGGAGGGGAAAGTAGGTTCACTCTGGAAGCTCCTAGGACAAAGAACAGAACTCCCTGTCCACACATCATCTCCCACCTAGAGCATTCTAAAGGCCGGATGGCTCAGGCCAGAGAACAAGAGCTGTGCACAGAAACAGACCATAGTGGAAGCTGCCCAGACTAAGTTCACCCTGTGCTAATCCACACTCTACTCTGAGCAGGGCATCTAAGGCACAGCCTTGGGGACCAACTAAAACCTCTCCCAGGAACTTTTGAGATCACACAGATGGAGAGTCCAGTTGTTAAGTGAAACTATGCTGGGCCCTGAGCAATGGCTAGTCCTATCTGTCAACTATTCACTGAGCTCTGCCTCAGAGGGAGTACTGATCTGTAAGTCTAGCTATGAGCTAAGTCCCAAGAAGAAAATGACACCAACTCTCACCTTGAGGGGTCGACAAATTTGTAAATAGATCCATGTGGTGCATAGGCACTTGGGTAGGAGGTGGCCAGGAAATACAGCTCCCCTAAGGAGACAGGAGTCAGCAGGAAGAACACCATACCATAAGGGCTGAGACATGTCTACACACACAGAAAACAATCTAATGAGGCCATGGTGCTAAAATGCTATGAGCACCATGGATGAGCTCTGGACACCTGACAGCCAGCCTCTCGCTGGGCTGCCAGTATCTTGGGGGCTAGTTCACCTTTGAACCCCCAAAGACTATCTCAGAAAGAGGCCCAGTGGGGGGCCCCTCCATGTGTGTGCTGTTGAATCCAGCAGCTTTTTCTCTATCACTTCTTTACTCCTGGAAATATCACCTCAGTGAAACCCTAACCACTTCTCCAGCCATTCCACACTGGTGAGGCTGGGTGAAGGGTGGGGCCAGCTGCCAGTCGTTTACACTGCGCCTTCATCCCTGTGTCCTCTCAGCCTAGCTTGGCATTTTCTTTCTCAGTCATTTTTTTTTTTAATGTCTTTGTTCCCATCCCCATTCTTCCAACCTTTCCTCTTGGTCTTCTCCACACACCCCCATTCCAAACATCCTCCATCCATACTCTCCAGTACCACTTTTAGCAAGAGTCAGGCTTCCTCCCAGTCCCTTCCTACTTTCATTTCAGGAAACATCTTCATGCCTGCCTCGAAGAAGCTACCTGATTTCCCCTGGCTTGGCACCTGTCTGTGAGGTGCATGGCTGTGTCTGAGAATGAGCCTTGGCCCTAGCATCACAGTGATAATTCCAGATTAAAGTCTCCTAATGCCAGTTCTGAGCCGGCTACCCTGGGTGACCTCCCAACCTGCATAAATTCCCAGCTATTCACTCATCTATAAGAGAGGGTCACAGTACCTTTGTGTCGGGGAGGGGAGGCAGGATATATATACATGTATACAACGGCATGCAGAAGCCAGAGTCTGACTTTGAGTGTCTTACTTGACAGCTCTCCACCTTCTTTTCTGAGGCAGGGTCTCTTCTGGAATCTGGACCTTGCAATTTGGCTACACGGGCTAGGCCACTGAGCTCCAGGGTCCCCCTGCCTCTGCCTCTCCGGCACGGAGATTACAGCTGTACAGTACTTCACCTAGGTTTTACTGGGTGCTGGGGAACTGAACTCAGGTCTTGGTGCGTGCTTGCAGATGCCTGAAAACTGAGCCAGCTCCCCAGTCCTCTCCTCTTTCCCATCTCTAGAGCAAGTGCCTCAGCAGCTTCTGTAACATGACACATGGCTCATGGGACCTCCTCAGCTTCATGGAAGACAATCATGAAGCTGCAAGTGTGACAGTTCTACAGCTGTATTGAACAGCTGTTGTCCTCAGATCTCTGGAGAACAGTGACCATGTGCTTCTCTGCAGTGTGAGGGTTTTAGGATCTGCCGAGTCTGCTACCCAGGGTGACAAGTATTGAAGACACTATGACTTCACATACTGATAAGATAGTTTGTAACTGTTTTAAAAAGGTGTCCATGGAGTCAGGACACATCCTACCCTGGATTCAATTTGTATTATCTGACTGGAAATGCCAAACACCATCAGACATCATCAGATAAATGAACTATCTTCCAATAGTCTATGTGAATGCAGGAACCCTCCAAACCACACAGAAACTCCAAAGTTGGGGGTGGGGCTGTCTTACTGCATGTTCACTTTACATACCTGTATAATGTATATGTTGTGAACATGCCATAGACTTCCAGTTCTATCTTTAGTGGGGGGAAATACAAAAGGTCAATTTTATCTGTGATGTACAGCTAACATTTTTAGTTTCTATTTTACATTTTGTCAGTTTTGTGTATGTGACAGGAATGTGTACCACAGCATGTGTGTGGAGGTTGGAGGACAATTTGCAGGAATCAGTAGTTCTCTCCCTGAGTCCTAAGATCAAACTCAGGTTGTCAGGTTCAGTGTCACTTTTACCATCTGATCTATCTTGCCAGCCCCTCAATATCTATTTTAGACAAAGAGATAGCTACAACACAGTGGGACTTGCTGTAAGCATCTTTGCTTAGGCCAGCCCTATTTAGGCCAGCTTGCAAACTGGCCCATGGATAGCTGGAGGCTGGGAGTCAAGCCTACGGGTCCCATGAGTGAGCTGTGTCTAGTTCCACCGAAAATCCACTTGCCAACAGCTAGCAGCTGATGCAGGAGACAGTGACCGCCTCATCTGCAAGAGTCTCAATGGGAAAGACTACATGAAGAAAAAGTGGAGCCTGCTTTTCAGAAGTACAGCACAAGAGAAAGCTCAGGGGGAAGTTTCTCTGACTTCAGGGCTGACCTGGGGCAAAGTCTTGGCCAAGTCCCACTTCCCAGAATTTGGCCAGGGACACTAGCTTTGTTTGCCAGGAGTCCTGCCTGTTTTCAAAAGCAGCCTGTTTCAACCTTCTCACCGATGCCTACAGGCTTTGCAAACCAAAGCTCTGAAGCCAGCATTCTGGGCTGCTTCAGAGAAGCAAGCCTGGGAAGACACACACCTCTAGGCAGGCCAGCCTCTGCCATTCCAGCTCTACCTACCTTTTGGGAGGGCCCAGCAGAGCAGCCCCATCAGGGTGGATGGCTTGTGCTGAGCAGACTCCCACCAGCCTGTGGTTTCTCAACATCTTTATGTATTTGGATTCCCAATTTGCAACTCACATAGACTTCCTCTATTTAAAAATCCTGAATTTCCCAAAATACCCTCTACTGATATAGAACGTTCCTCTCAAAGTATTTATCCAGCAGCAAGGTAAAAGGGAAGAAAAAGAAGCTAACTAGATTTCTTTACTACTTACTCAGCCTAGGTTCCTGTGCAGTCACCCTGGGGCTCCAAGTGGAAAGAGGTTAAATTCAGGGATTCTCAAAGCCCTGGCTTCACACCCAGAGAGAATCTGGACTTTGCTAGTTTGTATTCTTCCTGTTTCTCTGTATCTTTGTCTCTGTCTGTCTGTGTATGTTGTGAGACAAGGTCTCATATGTCCAGATTAGTCTCAGACTTGCCCTGTAGCCAATGATAACCTTGAATTTCTGATTATTCTGCCTCCATTCCTAAATACCAATATTACAGGAATGCACCCAGGGCCTCAGGCCTCTGGCAACTGGGCTACATCCCCAGTTTTTTAAACCTTTTGCCAGTTAAGCATGGTTACAAAAAATATCCTGTGCACACTTGGGTAAACAAAACAGAATTTCTTTAAAATCTTAAATTTTAAACTTTCCAAATGAAATATTAACTAATGGAATACTGAAATTAAAAATGAGTTCTCTGGCTATATATTTTAGGAGCATATGTGTTCCTCAGACGTGAGTACACACCTTGGCTTCAATGACCAATGATGTCCTTAGCATGCACCTGGCCTCTCTTGTTTAACCATATTCCTTGCCATCTACCATCCCCCATACACCTTTTACATCCAGATCTCTCTCCTTACAAACTCTAGGAAGAGTCAGGAAGACCCCAAGCCAATCAATGACCACACATCTCCTCCTAGGCTACCCAAGAGGGGAAGAACAGGCTGTGCATTTAGTCTGACCCACTGGGGCCTTGCCACAAGCTCATATTTGTTTTAGAATAAAGTCAGCAAAGGGGGAGTGTGCGAGCCTCTCCGAGGTCAGAGATGAGAGCACAGTGCCCCACCCAAGGAGATGTGCTCTCTCTCACCACAATAGCGGTGTGTGGGACAGTCAACAGTCAACCTGTTTCCTCCCAGCTGACACTGAAAATAACGACTGCATCACCCAGGCACTGAGGTTACTGATTACCCCGCATGTTATGAAACGGCTCAAGGATCACCATGAGAGAAGAGGCAGCAGCTGTTCAAGTGACAACAAACATGCAGCCAGTGGCTGTGGTTATGGAAAAACAACCAAACAGGACTCAAACAGGTTACCTGCTTCATCTTCAGCAAAGGAGATGATGAACCTGCTGTAGGCCCTGATCAAGCCAGGGAAGGCACAGGATGCATTGCCCAGGCAGATGTCTTGCTTCCTACATCTCTTAGTCTTCCTATCTTCCTGCAAAGCCATAAGTTGGCTAATGAAAAATAAAAGCTTATGTTGTAGGAATCTGTATTTCCCCTTCAGAGAGTATTTCCCCACCAAGAATCAGGGATCCTTAAATACTAGCAATGGGTCTTAACTGAGCATGGTGAAGTGTACACCTCTAAGAGGCAGGAGGATCGCTGAGTTTGAGACCATTCTATTCTACATAGTGAGCTGCAAGTCAGCCAAGAATAGAATACCCTGTTTTTTAAAAAAACCAAATAAATTAATACTTCCTTACCCACTCATGAAGTCCCCAAAGATGTAGAGGCCATTGAGATTGGGGAATTCGCACCCACGGTAGACATACCCTCCAGTGACTGACTTTCCCACCTCATGGCCGTAAGCATAGATGGGCAGAATGTCATCTGTTAGGACCAAAAAAAAAAAAAAAAAAAAAAGAGTGGAGAGCATACTCAAGTGGCGAGTTCTAATGGATGGAAAGTGGGTTTATGCACCCATTTGGTTTAGCTTCTGGCCATCAGTAAGACAAACAACTGAATCAATTGTTTTGGTTTGATTTGGTTTTTTCAACAGTCCAGTCACAATATGCATACTTCCCATTAAATCTCCTTTCTGACACCTGGTTCCCCCCTTAGACTCTCAGGGCAGATACTTGGGTGTTAGCCTATGGGAAATCTTAAGACATGGATGGAGGCAGACAGACCAAGAAGCATAAAGCCAGCCTGGGCTACATGAGTCCCTTCCTCTAAGGCAGGAAGAGAAGGAGAAGGAGGAAGAGGAGAAAGAGGAGGTGCAGGAGGAGCAGGTGATAGTCAGTTTTCAACCTGGAAGCAGGTGGAATGCCTAATCACCCCTGACTGTTGATTCTGAGGACTGCTTGATTCCTTGTGTGTGCAGAATACCATTTTAGTGGGATGTCCCAAGTCAGAGACTGTTTTTAAAGTTCACGCAGCCATCAAGTTTTCTCTGCCAGTGGTGCTTAAAATAGTATACCTAAAAGCCCCTCAGGTAAACTTCTTTCAAGTACAGTTAGTCTCTGTATCCCAGCTCACCCCAAAATGTAAATACATTATGCTGGCACACACAACATGAGTTGGTCTTTTAAAAAAAGAGTTTTACATTTATGTATGTGAGCATTTGCCATAAGAACAGCTTTCAGGAATTTGTTCATATTTTCCATGGGTTCCAGGATCAACTCAGGTCATCAAGTTTGGCAACAAGCACCTTTATCAACTGAGCCATATCACTGGCCCCAAATCAATATCAATTGGCTTTCTATTCTATTCCAGAGTTGGTCAACATTCCATTCCATAAATCACAACTAGTGTCCCAGTGATCTGAGCAAAGGAATTTGCTATAGAGAAAAAGGTTTCATGAAAATAAAAAGGGCCGAGAGATGGTGGCACACGCCTTTGATCCCAGCAGAGGTAGACAGAGCTCTGTGAGTTCAAGGCCAGCCTGGTCTATAGAGCTAGTTCCAGGACAGCTGGGGCTATTACATAGAGAAACCCTGTCTCGAGGGGGGGGATGGCTGGGCGTTCTTAGTGCTCAGGAGGCTGAGGCTGGAGGGTTACAGATTCAAAGTCAGGGTCAGTCCAGGCTTATTCAGACCTTGTCTCCAGAAGCAGAAACAAAAACAAGCTACATGGTAGCTATTCAAAGTTCTTGTGTTTGTATGGCAGAGAGACCCAATGGCAGCAAAGTAACTGATCCAATAACATTAGGGAGCTACTCCCCACCCTATGTAGTCTAAGTTGGTTCTGAAGTCACAATCCTCCAACCTCTGCCTCTAACACTGGGGGATTCTAGACAAGTACTACCACACCCAGCAGGGACTGACTTTCAAACAAGTATGGCCAAAGAGTGTCTGGTGTCCCTGTCTGGGGCAGCAGAGATACCACCCCACAACCCAGCAACAAGTTACCATGGAGACAACCTTCAGAGTACTCAGGTTGTGTTCCCCTACCTCCACTGCCAACCTAGTCAACTCATTCAGAAAAACCAGACAGTGTCTGTCTTACCTAAGGAAGCATTATGACAAAGTTTCTTGTCATAACATTCAAATCCTTCCTTTGCCCTCCAGCCATAGTTCCCGCCTTTAAAGATGAGGTTAACTTCTTCAAATTTGTTCTGGCCCACATCACCACAGAATATCCGACCACGGCCCTGGCGGGTAGTAGGGTCCCCTCGGTCCACAGCACAGCGCCACATATTTCTGACCCCATAGGCATAGACAGCAGGGTGGGCACCTGGCTCAGAAACAAAGGGATTGTCCGGGGGCACTTGGTACCGCTGGCCATCCGTGCCAGCCCCATTCACACCAATCCTCAGCACTTTCCCCAGCAGAGAACTTCTGAAAGACAAAAAAGCCAGGAAAGAGGCCCAGGTGAGCGGACACACGTAAGACTGCAAAGGACCAGAGGAAAGATTGGGGGTAGGGAGCACAACACAGAACGGGGTTGGGGAGGATGGAAGGTAGGGGCTGGACAGGACAGGACATGGGACAGATATGCTGAGAGCTGGTGCCAGGAGAGCTAGAAACCCAAGGGAAAGTGACCTCGTTGGTTCTTTTAAATCTACACGGGTTGTTTAAGAGTTTCTCATCTCTGGCTCAAGGAGCTCTACTAGAGAATGGGACATAACCCTGTACCCTGTGACCCTAAGTAAACTACAGCTTTCATTTTCTATCTTAATGATGGGTGCTCTCCAATTTGGAAAATAAATAAGGGTTTTATTTTTCCCCAGATAGCTTTGTACTTAGGAAAAAGAACAGACTTTGATTTTTTGAGCGGGTCTTCCAATGAATTTGACTGTAGGCAAATAACACTGTGGCGTGGCTGTTGCAATAATACATTTTAGTGAGCTATTATGCACATGGTTCTTGGTGCCACCCCTGAATGGCAGCATTCAGCAGATACTAGCTTTCATACATGTTTACAGGAGGCTTGGTATGATGTCATATCAACTAAAACAGATTAAATTTTTCTTGCCCTTGAAGAATGTCATATCCTCAAGTACAACATGCACTCTGACTGAAGCAATCACTGTCGACACACTGGGCACTCAGTATATAACATCTCTTATTAACTGGCTTCTCATGTGTCTCAGGGTCTAACACAGGGCCAGAAACACACTGCTCAATACTACCATTAAGTCAAATCAGATGGCGGTTATCATAGAGCTTCCTGCTAAGATACATTTAATTTTAAATTCTTTTCTATAGTAATCATTTATGTATCTATTTATCATTGAGACAGGGTCTCACTCTGTAGCTCTGGCTGTCCTAGAACTCACCATATAGATCAGGCTGGCCTCAAACTCATAGAGATCCACCTGCCTCTGCCTCTGCCTCCCAAGTGTGGGCCACCATACCTGGCTACATTAAGAATTTATAATATTAGGTAGAAAAGTATTCTGTACTGTTTATAGAACAGAAAGCCAAAGGCTCCTCTCACTGGCCCCAGGGGAAGGGATTAGACCACGGTAGGTACCAGGGTATACTCAGAAGGAACAGCCTCCATCCAGCTTACTTGTTCTGAGCATTTCCAAACTTGCCAAAGGGATCCCCAGCCTGCCCTCCATCCCCAGTGAATATGTACAGATAACCATCCAGGCCAAAGAGAAGCTGTCCACCATTGTGGTTTGAGGCTGGTTCATCTATCTCCAAGATGACCCTGGGAGAGAAAGAGAAACTACACATAAGGCTTTGGCAATGCTGAAGCTGCATGTTCTCGAGACACCCAGAAGTTGGTTAGCCCAAGCCACCAAGATCTGCAAAGGTAGCTGACCCTGGCCTCAGTCTCCAGAGACCACAAAGTAGGTGGCGTGGGACCCTGAGGGGCCCCGTGTTTCCTGGTGTAATTCCTTTGTGGATCTTTTTATTTTTTTTCAACAGAGGTTGAACCTAGTGCCTTTGCACAATCCAAGCAGTCTACCACTGAGCTGCACCCCCCCCCAGGCCTCTGTGGATCTTTCTTCTTTTATACCATGACCTCACTAGCTGGAGTTTGCCTTTATTCTGCCCCCCCATGGACTCCTCCTTCCTTCCTTAGAAAGGCAATGTAGCTGGTCATTCTTTCCAATTAGCCTGTCTGTGATGGGAAGGAGAACAAAGGGGAGAAGGCAGAGTGATGGAGAGGCAAAGGTGATCCTCCTGGAAGCAGCTAGAACTAGTGTCTCATCTGTCCTGGTGAGCAATATGACACAGTCTACAGTCATTTGAGTGGAGAGTATCAGTTGAGAGATTGCCTCCTTGGATTTCCTTGTGGCCATGTCTGTAGGGAGCTATCTAGATTGTTAATTGACATGAGTGAGCACAGCCCACTGTGGGCATACCATCCTTAGACAGGTGGTCCTGGGCCATATGACGAAGCTTGCTACCAAGCAGCATCCTTTATTGTTGCTGCTGGACGTACTGACTGTGGAATGAGTTCCTCAGCTGGAGGTAATACTGTATGGAATAGCAAGCTGGCCTACCTTCAAGTTCATGCTTGAGGTCCTGCCCTGCCTTCCTTCAGAGATAGACTGTGGCCTGGAAATGTAAGTCAAATAAATCCTTCCCTCCTCTAAACTATTGGTCATGGGACCTGTCACAGCAACAGAATGAATCTACAGCATCATCTACTCCTGCATCAATAGCTTTATGGCCTTGCACCATAGCTCCCATGGGAGTGAGAAATTCCACACTAAAGGCAAAGGCTTTGATTTCCAGAGGCCACACAATGAATTAGAGGCTGCTGTTGTGTCTAATATATGATCTATAATCACTTTAAAATTCCTTTTGGCTGCCTGTCCTGGCTTCTCCTTTGTAAACCAAGCAAGCATGACTATAAGCAGGGCAGGTAGAGCAAGGTCTATACCCCGTAAGATGTTGTCCCCATTCATTAGTAGTGACTCTCTCCTCAACACTTTTTATGTGTGTTTCTTTTTTCCTGCAAGTGTGGTTGTTGGTTGTTTCATTTTTTCCCCCCCCGTACCACCAGCATGCAGTACCAGCAGATGCCAAAAGGGGGGGTCAGATCCTCTAGAATTGGAGTTAGAGATGGTTGTGAGCTGCTGTGTGGGTGCTGGGAACTGAACTCAGGTTCTCTGCAAGAGCAGCAACTGCTCTTAGCCCGAGCCACCTGTCCAGCTTGTTTTCTTAACATTTTAAGCTCATGCTAAAAAACCAGGCCCGTTCCTTCTCTATTAGTATCATTTGGGAGCACAGTTTCAGTTCCCATGAAATTGTCTCACCTCTCTGATTTGGGATCTGCTTTGTTAGGGTCAGACAGAGAAACCTTCATCTCACTTATCCGGATTTTCTCCACCTTCCTTTTGCCCAGGCATGAGTAATAAATGTAGAACTTGCGGTTGTTGCGGAATTTGGGATGAAAAGCCAGCCCCAAGAAACCTCTCTCATCGCCAATCCAGGGTGTGGTCAGCACCATGCTCTTGAGGTCCAGGAAGGGCTGTTCCAGGCGACTCCCATCAGGCAGGTAGACCCACACCACTCCTACCTGCTCAGCAACAAAGAAGCGATGGGTGCCGTCCCCAGCATGCACCATGGCCACCGGGTTCCTCAGCCCATTGGCCACCTCGGCCAGGCAAAGCTGCAGGCAGCCCTGCTGGTCTTCAGCCACCACTCCCAGGTTGCGGTTCAGTTGATTGTTCCTTAGGACGTTGGGGAAGCAATAGTCCTCATCAGGAAGGTTGAGGAGGTGGCAGAAGCGAGCGCCATCTTTTTCATGGGACTCCCTGAGACTACGGTCGTTGGTCAGCAGGGAGATGGCAGCATGGCAGTTGTGATGGAAGGCAGAGCAGTAGTCAGAGCAGAGGCCTGGAAGGTTCCTGAGGGGTGTCTGAGGGTTCTCAGCATCATAGAGGTGGGCTGCATAAGGAGAGCACTCCTGGGAGAGGAACAGGAAGCTTGATCTCAACTCGAGCAAGCAATAAATAAATAAATAAATAAGAAAGAAAGAAAGAAAGAAAGAAAGAAAGAAAGAAAGAGAAAAGGAGCACTGGTCTAGTAGGGGATCCATGTTCTGGAGGTTTGCATACAAATTTCTGTCAATCATTTCTCTGGGATCCAAGTGTCTGGTAGTTAATGAACCTAGAGGAAAACCCTCACATATTCACTATGCTGTGTCTAGTATTTCAATAGCTTAGCTTTTTTCTAAATGATTAGCATATATTAGGTTGTATATAATAATGGGTTTCATTATGACATTCTTATATCCTATTTTCACCAGAGTTCACCACCGCACCTCTCCTGTCCCCTTCCTATCCTCACCGATCTCCTTCTTTACAAATAGCACCATCTTTCTGTGTGTGTGTGTGTGTGTGTGTGTGTGTGTGTGTGTGTGTGTAGTGTTTTGTTAGATCTGTTTCCAGAAGAATGGGTGAGAGTTTGTTTATAGGAGCAAGACACCTTATTTGTGGTTACACCACTGAAGAAAATGTTTCTCCCTCTCAGACCAACCATTAACTAGATATAAATCCTCAGAGGGTGGGATCCCTTGAGCCCCTCCCTATTCCATGACAAGCTGATAGATCTTGTGAAAGACACCACAGCTCTCAATAGCTTCATTTTTAACACTTATTATATTAGCCGGACTGTGGTGGTACACAGCTTTAATCCCAGCACTTGGGAGGCAGAGCAGATGAATTTCTATAAGTTTCAGACAAGCTTGGTCTACAGGATGGCCGGGGCTGTTTACACAGAGAAACCCTGTCTCAAAAAACAAAACAAAATGACTATGTTAAATGATGGATGAGGGTGAAGGTGGTGATGTGAATGCCTGTATGAGTTTTTGCGCCCAGTGTGTACAGGCATCTGCAAAGACCAAGGGAGACCCCCTGGGAGTAGAGATAGATGGTTATGAAACCACCACATGGGTTCTGGGAACCGAACCCTAGTCTTCTGCAAGAGCAGCAAGTGATCTTCACCACTGAAGCACCTCCCCATCCCTTGGCAATCAGGCAGAGGGAAACAAACTAGAGAAGCAGTCAGTGTCTCCCCCGTTCACTCGAGGCTGTTTGATGGAGGAGCTACACAAAGCAGCGTGACCCACTCTCTAGTGTCAGCATGCCCAGTGAAGGAAAGGGAGAAGGGGGAGAAATGATGAAATGCTTGGGAACAGAAGCTGGCAGTGGAAGTATAATCACCCTGGCACACTTAGGCAGCCATTTAGAGCTTTCAAGGTTGTTTTGACTCTAGATGAGTCAAACCAGTGTTTCTCCAGGGGGAGAAACTCAGGCCCAGAAGAGTCTCCGATGTGTGACTGCACCCTTACACCTCTCCCGTGTGCAGGGCCCCGTGAGCATTTGTGAGCAAATTACACAGTCACTTTCCCATGGAGCTCATGCTTCCCAGAGTTCAGAAAACCATTGCGGAAACAGGCCAGAGATGATGCTGGTACTTTACTCTGGTGTGACATAATCAGAGGTCCTGGCATAATCAGAGGACCTGAAGCCAACATGACTCCAGAAGGGTGAGAGTCATTAATGCCTGCAAAATTGCTTTCAGGTAAAGACCACACATGGTGGGAGGAAATGGCCAACAAATAGACACAAATAAGGCTATATTATTCTTCTTCAAGTCCAAACACCAAGGGAGCATCTGAATGTGGCTTTCTGAATCGGAGAGGACACGGGAAGGAAGGGAGGTTTTCAGTAGAGGACATCCCAGCCTCTGGGGCTGAGGAGATGGCTCTGTTACTGAAGTGCTTGCTTGCATGGGTTCCTGCCTGCACTTGGTTCCTAGCCTGGAACTTGTGTCCATAGCCCCAGCACTGGCCCGGAGACCGAGGATAGCTGGAGCTCACTGGCCAGCCACCCTACCCGAATCAGGGAGTCCCAATTTTGTTACAAGAGACCCTTTCCGAAACATAAGGTGAAGGGTGACAGAGGAAGACGCCTGACATTGACCTCCAGGCATCGTGAGTTCACATACACACTCACACACAACATGCCTGCATGGACATCTCACAAGTTAAATCTCCAGGAACAGCTAAAGGACAGTGCCCTGGCAAGAGAAGAGCACAGCCCCCGGGCAATGCCACTGAGGTGGCTGTCCTCTGAGTCAGACTGCACTGTGATGCCTGCCTGGGACGTCTGTGCCCATGCATAAAGCTAGGGAGGCTGGTATTCTTGGGAAGAGTGGCCATGGTGGAAAAGAAGCCCCAGGACAGCCACATAATAGCACTAACATACCCTGGAAGGTGTCAGGTCGAAGGTCAGCCCAGGCATCTGTCACATCACCAGAGTGCTGTCTTACAGCATACTCTCTCAGCAGCACCCTCTCCCCACAGAGGTGTCTGTCTGCCTCTGTCTCTCTCTCTGTGACATGCACATTGTGTGTGTGGGCACACGTGCGTGTGCACATGCGCGCATGTTTGTGTGACCTGTGCCTTCTTGTTTTCAAGCTCAGCTCACCTAAGTTGAAGGCTCCCAAGTGTGGATTTTGGCTGCGGTGAGCCTGGAGAGGAGAAACTCTGAGTCATTACCTCCCAGCAACTTGAGGCTCTCTTCATCCAGCTCAGAGGTTCTGAAAGCAGGACCCCACTCCCTGCCACCACCACTGTCACAACAGTAGCCCCCTTTGCAAAGCCCCTACCTTGGCCGGTGCCACCACTCCCTCCCCTGCATGACCCATAGTGCCACAGAAATGCCATGCCCAGCTATCTGGTCCCTACAAGTAGGATGAAGCAGCTGCATCGAGGACTCCATCAAAGCATCTGACTTCTGTTGTCTGGGGAACCAGAGTACATACACCCCGTCTCTAGTTTTCCATGGAGGCACCTGGCAGGAACATCCCACCCCAGGACCTGCCATTCTTCCCAGCACTCTAAAGCAGTTCTCCAAATTGGCTCCCTCTCCTCCTCAGAGACTCACACTCAGACCCACCTGGCAAAGGATGTCTTTAATGTAACCTCCACACAGTTCATGGCCTTTCAGGTCAAAGTAGTTCATGATGTCCCAGTACCGGGCAGCTATGCGGTGGTCCTTGCGCCGATCACAGCAGCCGAAGGAGTCATAGTCAGAGCAAAACTCCAGGTGGAGAGAAGGACGGAAAGGTGGTCCATAATCCAAGCACTGGGGGTGTCCCAGGAGCAGGCCCACCCAGCCCAACAACATGAGTCCCAGGGAGAACATGGCAGGAGAGCCATGGGGCCAGGCGACCAGGAATAGTGTGTGACTAGTATATTTTCCCAGCATTTGAACCTTGGGAATTCTTTGCTGCCACCTTCCTGGGTTCGCCTGCCCAGTCTGCCCAAGTTCCCTCCCCTGCTTGCAATTTCTCTTCCTTCTTTCTCTCCCTCACATCCTGCCCCAAGTTCACTGAGGTGGCTCATCAGAGGAGTCCTTTCTCCGGGCTGGTGGCTAAGCATACCTAGTGACATCAGTGAGAGGTGTCCTTACCTGTCAGTTCCGTCCAAAAGCGATGCTGGAGCAAGTCTCAATACTAGTGCCAAGTGCTTGAGGCCCATGGGCACTCAGCCAAAAGATGCCATGGCACCAATGACTGAGGTGCAATGATTCCCCAAGCTGCACAGAATTCCCGCCATGCTGGGCGCAGGCCAGGAAATTCCCACTTGTTTACTGTTTCTCTACAGCCTGCACAGCACATCACACATTAGAGCCCCAGTGGCAGGCTCTGCAAGGCTCCTGCAGTGCAGAAGGGCACAAAGGACGACAGTGTGGGTCTGGGAACATCAGGGAGGGCTGTCTGGTGTGTGCTTAGAAGGAAGGAAATTTCATGAATCTTGCATTCCCAACAAGAAAAACAGAGCCAGTACAGGGAGGGTGTCTAGTCACTTCACCCTGCGGCAACAAACATCACAAACTGGAACATGGCTTGGTTGGTAGAGTGCTTGCCTAGCAAGCAAAATGTCCTGGGTTTGAGTCCCAGCACCTTACAAATCAGGCTATGCTGTGTTCAACTGCCACATTAATACTTAGGAAGTAGAGACAGTAAGACCCAAGGTACAAGGTCATTCTTGGCTCAGTGCTTGCCTGTGAATCTCTCCTTCTGCTTCCATCAGCTACTGGATGAAAGCACTATGATGGCATTTAAGGTAGTCGTCAATCTTGTTATAGGGAATGAGCATTTAAGATAGCCTCTCCACTACTGCTTAGATTCTTAGTTCATCCTTGTGGATCCCTGGAAATTTCCCTAGTGCCAGATTTCTCTTTAAACCTTTAATGGCTCCCTCTATTATGGTATCTCTTTTCCTGTTCTCCTTCCTCCAACTCAATCATCTGAGCCAAATTCTAGGAATCTAGCTGTAGAGGGAGGAGTGATGAGCAAAGGGGTCAAGACCATCCTGGAGAAACCCACAGAAAAAGCTGACCTAAAGGAGGAGCTCATGGACCCCAGTCTGACAGTTGGGGAACCAGCATAAGACCGAACCAGGCCCCCTGAACATGGGTGTCAGTTGGGGAGCTTGGGCAGTCTATGGGGCCTCTGACAGTGGAACCAGTATTTATCCTCAGTGCAGGAATGGACTTTGGGAATGGACTATGGAGGGATGCTCTCTCAGCCCAGATACACCTGTCACAAATGATGTGACTGACTTTGATGATCCCCCATGGGAGGCCTCACCCTCCCTGAGAAGTAGGTGGGAGGTGGGGATAGGGGGTTGGTAGGGGACATAGGAGGAGGGGAAAGGGGGCTTGATATGTAAAATAAGATTGTTTTTAATTTAAATAAAACTTTATTTTAAAAAAAATAACAGTTCTTTAATGGATGAACATGGAACCCTGAATTCACACAGCAGCAAACCCAGAGGGACAGGCCCATGCAGATATTTAGAACCTGAACGGAGCCTCCTTTCAGCAGTTCCTGTGATTCCAGCCCAGTGGAACTGTCAGAAATCTGACACGCCCTGCCAACCCTACTGTGCTTGTAAAGCAGACAGCCCAAGCAACTCTCCCACTGACCATAGGAGAGCATCACCAGGGGTTCTCAGAAACCGGTGATCAGGGTGACTGTCAACACCACACCTTGCTTTCACCTGCCAGCTCACTGGCAGAGTTGAGGACAGAACCCAGGCTGTCATACGTCCTGGGCATTCACTGAGCCAAATGCACAGCCTCTGCTTCTGAAGGCATAGGCTGGAGTCTGAGTCACTGGTGACTGTGCAGTTTCTACAGGGCTGTTTACTCAAAGGTCAGTGCTTGTCATTGCTATGGAAGCCTTGGATGGGAGCAGTAACCCTTGACCCCATGTTAGCCAGTGAACACACAGCCACCACGGCCTCCTAAGCACCTGGGCCTGGGTGACAGGAGTACATCTCCCACCCTGGAGACAGTTTCTTGACCCTTGATTAGTATTTATGTCTTGATCTTTGTTCTTTGGCCACAAAAGCACATGGAGATTTTCCTGTTTGAGGCAAATGTCCTTGCAGAGATTAATAAGCAAAGATCAGAGTCCACTGGACACCCTGACACAAACTCCTGATTAATGTCATATTTCAGATAAAATTACACAATGCAATGTCATTTTTCAACAGACCCTCAGGGTCAACTCAGCAATAAGTATTACTGTATGGAAGGTGCTGTGCAGGAAAAGTAACACTGATAAATAAGACAGATGATCCAATAACACAGATGGGTGTGGTTGCAGATACCTGTAACAAGTACCTGGAAAACTGAGGCAGGAGGATCTCCAGTTTGAAGCTAATATGGACTGTATAGAAGAATGGAGTGTGATGGTTTGAAAGAAAATGGCCCCCAAAGGGAGTGGCACTAAGGAGGTGTGGCCTTAAAGAGGAAGTGTGTCACTGTGGGGGTAGGCTTTGAGGTTTCCTTTGCTCAAGCTACTACAAGTGTTCAGTCTACTTCCTGCAAGCCAATATACCGCAGCTACCTGTCCAGCACCATGTCCACCTGCACACTGCCATGTCCTGATATGATAATGATCAAGTCTCTGAACTGTACGTGAGCCACAGGAATTAAACATTTTTCTTTCAAAGAGCTGCTATGATCATGGTCTCTTCACAGCAATAGAAGCACTAGCTGAAATAGGGAAAGCATAAAACAGGACCTACTAATGGAAGGCAGATGGTATTTATAGAGAAGGGGGACAGCACCATGAAGGACTCACAGGAAGGAATTGTGACATCAAGCATCTGAAAGTCTTAAGCTGAGGGGTTCGATAGAGCATTGGCAGAAAAGAATAGAGTGTTATGTAAACTTGGGGATTACATCATGGCCAAACCATTAGAAGCAGACTGAGGGCTGAAATCATGTAGCACTCATTTTTGAAACACACATTTGTAAATTACTGTGTTAGTTTGCCTGGACTGCTGTACAGAGTACACAAACTGAAAGATTCTCATGAGAAGACTTATTGCCTCTCAGTTCTGACAGCCCTGAGGTCATGGTGTCACGAGGGCTGTTTCTTCAAGGGAGTGAGGAGAATCAGTTCCAGGTGTCTCTTACAACTTGTGGTTCACAAGGCATCTTCTGCAGCGATGCTTATAGTACTGTGCTACCCCAACCGCTGCCTCCACGTTCAGACGCCACTTTTCCTGTGTGCACTTGTCCTTTCCTTATGAGAACACAAGTCATTTGGATAAAGGGCCACTATAATGACCTTATTTTATTAATGAAGTCATCTCCTGTAGCTTACGGTCTCTCTGCAATCCACTTCCAGTCATGCTCCTTTCCTGAAGTGTGCACATGACAGATAGATGTACCTGGTGACAGAAAGCAGCTCCTGCATGTGTGCTATGCACCAGTCTGCAGAGCATCTTCTCACATCTCATCTCTCCTCATCTTGAAAACCATTCTCAGAGGTAGGGAGGCACACATCCCATTACCAGCATGCAGACAAGCCTGTGGGGTCACAGAGGTTCAGTGAGGTACCCAAGAATCCCAACACCCACCAGAGGCCAAAGAGCAATAAAATCCAGCATTCTCAATTATAGCTCTGACTTCATTTCATGATTTACCAAACTCAGCAAGCACTTTTGATTGTTCTTCATATCAAAAGACTTGTATTAATTGCAGCTAGCTACTAAAGACACACTAACTAAACAACAGGCATACCGATGGGAGAGGTTATCTGTGAATTCAAGGTACAGTCATAAGGGGATCTGTGAAGGAACTGGCATGAAGTCATTACTCACCGAGTTCAAGGCTAACTTCCTCTCTATGAAGACACTTTCCACATCTTTTGTTGGGATTTTCATTTAGCAGTCTATCATTTCTTTTTTAAAATGTTACTATTACCCCTTACTAAGAAAACCCACACACAACAGGCCCCACCGCACCCAATCAATGGCTGCCATTCTCACATCCCCACTGTCACAGAACACAGGGACTACACCATCAATGAGATGCTTTGGACATGCTGGGATTTAAGACCCACCAGGCCTTTCTGACTCCATGGTACTCTGGGGTTGTTTTGGAAGGAAAGATTGATATATAATCACCTGACCTGGAACAGTCAAGATATATAAACCAAAAATGCAAACAACCTGATTTTAAAAATCAGCAAAACCCTGAGTAGACGCTTGTCAATGGAAGACATTGAATGACTCACAGTTGCATGAAGAGTCTACACAGAGAAAAGGGATAAAAGACAAGAAGGCACTGTCACACACCTGCTGCGTGACTATCGAAGAGACAAAGGCAGCACTGGAAATGGGAAAAGGAACTTTGTGTACTACTGACGGAAATGTAAATTGGTTTTTATTACATTATTGTTGTGGTGGTGGTGGTGGTAGTATTATTGTTAGTACTTGAGCCCAGGGCCTCATGCATGTTAGGCAAGAGCTTTCCCACCAAACTACAGCTACAGCCTACCATGCTCATCAATGAAAACATGGGGACTCTTCAAAAATCCAAAGTAAAGCTGGCATCTATCAACAGGAATTGGGAGTTGGGACTAAAATTATATGCATTCCTACATTCACCTCAGCAGTATTCACAATGGTTAAAAAGAAAAACAATCTAAATGTTCTTTAATAGTTAAATGAATAAGGGGAAAAAAACCTGTATATTCTTCAGTCATTTATAAAAAGTTAACTCTAGGGCACTGGAGAGATGATGGCTCAGTATGAGTGCATACTGCCAAGAGGGATAACTGCTAGAGAGATCCAACGCAGGTAATCACAGTTCAATGTGCTAAACTGTAGTTTGCTAAAACATGAAATGCTAAGTCCTCTGACCACATTTCCACACACATAAAGCACCAACTGTGGTGACGGTGGTGATGATGATGATGTCTTGGAATCATCTCAGTGATGTGTTTCTGGGCAGTTCTTAAGTGTAAATCCTGGAAGGATTAACACATAGGGGAAATATTTCTACAGAGTGGGCTCCACCTTCCAGCAGTAGACCAGGTAGAGCAAGGTCATAGTAGAAAAACTGTTGCCTTTTGCCTGCCCACTTCACCCTTGCTGGAAAGTAGATAGATTGCTGGCATCTACCCTATTGCCACCAATGGCAGCATAATGATCCTCCACTGACTTGGAACCCAGATTCTTTGGCTTCCAAAGTGGACTGAGCAGCTGGCTGGTGTAGGGTTCTCAGTTTCTTCTGTACAGCTACTCAGGCTGTATTATATTAGCCAGTAGAATTGGTAAGTCTCCTTTGTGTTATCTATTCATTCTATGGCTTCTCCTCTGGATAATCTTGATAGAAACAGTAAATATACAGAGGTAATAGATTAACTACATCTATTAACTACATGTGCCAAGATAGCACACTGTATACCTCAAAGATATGCATTTAGAAGTTGCTAGGAAAAAGCAAAGGAGACTTAAAATTCTGCTAGCTCCTGTTCTTAAAGGGTCGTCATGCAATCACAATGAATGCTTAGCAGTTAACCTGACCTACCATTAACTAATATCCTTCAACAAACTAAATCAAAGCAAGCCAATATTTTAAAAGAATGTTTAGCAGTGCTACCAAGTGACAGACTTCCAAATGAGGAACCCAGAGCTAGGTTAGGTGAACACACTTTTAATCCCAGCACTTAGGAGGCAGAGGCAGGCAGATCTAAATTCAAGGCCAGCCAGAGGTACCTGGTGAAACCCTCTAAAACAAAGTAACAATAAAACCCAGGACTCCAATTGTAGTAGTTGGAATGAGAACAGTCCCCATAGGCTGTTATATTTGAATGTCTGATTCCCAGTTGGTGGACTGTTTAGGAAGGATTAACGAGGGGTAGCCTTCCAGGAAGAGTTGTGTCACTGGGGGTGGACTTTGAGAGTTCAAAATCCCGTATCAGACCTAGTTTCTCTTGGTTTCTGGCTCTCTGCCACATGTTTACAGAGCTCTCAGCTACTGTTCCAGTGCCTGCCTGCCTGCCTGCCTGCCTGCCTCCATGGTCCTTGCCATGATTATGAACTAACCCTCTGAAACCCCAAATTAAATACATCCTTTTATAAGATGCCTTGGTCATGATGTCTCTTCACAGCAATAGAACAGTAAAAAAGACACCAATTCAACAGTTTCCCTAGGTCCTATTTGTGACATAAAGTTGCTAAGGTATTTTCCAGGGGGTGGACACCTCAGTGACTTTCATACATTTTTATTTAGTTCAACTCACTTATTTACTAAACCATGCACTGTTAGTCGGTGGTACAATAAAGATGTTTATGTTTCAATAACATACTAACAAGAACGACAAGCACCACAAAACTAAATGTGATAGTTTGGTAAGACTCAGTATGGGGAGCCTCCTAGGACACAAAGAAGGGAGTCTCTCAAAAGCCTAGGAGAATAGACCTAGTCTGCTTGAGCCAATGGCCTCAGGGCTGTGAATCCTCTCTCTTCTGACCCTAGCTACCCAGCTCAGTGCTTCATATGGGGTTGGGAGGCAACAGAGGTAGAGTCTGCATGATTGGGCCTGACTATAGAGAGGTACTTCATCTCTGAGGGCCAACTTCACCTTCTTAGTCAGAAGGAAAATCACACAAGTGTGCTGGTATGAAGAAATGGGAGTTTCAAAGCGCCCAAAAGAACCTGGCCAGTGTCATTATTATAGTACTGGCCTGAGGTTCGGCAGACCTAAAATAATTTCCACACGTGTTTAAGTCACAGTTCTCTAACTGAACATGTACTGAGAAAATTCTAGGAAAGAAAAACTAGACATTGTAGCATATACATATAACAGCTGAGGCACAGAATTGTGGGTTCAAGGCCAACAATGTTTGCAAGCCTCATTTAAAACACAAAAACAAAACAAAAAAGTAAAGCTTTGTTTAGAAACCAAGAACCACAGCTCCTTACCTCCCTTTCACAGCCCCAGAAAACATCGGGATGCACAAACCGTCACTTAAGATTTCAGAAGTGGTGTCCTTATCTTGGCCTGTGCGCTGAGCTTTGTCTGGGCATTTATTCCTACAGTTGCTTACACAGAACTATCAGATAATCCAATCACCTACTCTCAGAAATGCCAGTCCCTTTAATGTGCTAATGCCTATGAAACACCCACTGGTTTCATTTGTCCATTATGAAGGCATCTGTTAAGACCCACCACCACCACATGTACAAAATACTACTGAGATAAAAATAATTGGCAAAGCATAATTTGCCCAATTTTACTGTACATGATTTAAGACTGGTAGGGTTGTAAGCCAATGACAAAATGTGTGCTTTGTCACCTAAACAGTAGTAAACCTTCCTGGAATCCAAATACTAGTTACTTCAACAGTAATTGTACAAGAGCCAAGATCATTTTGAAGAAGCATTTACCAGCAACACAATACACAAGGACCCAGCTTATGTTCCTGGAACATGTCATTGCCTCTGGTCAAGCTGTCCCAGTAGGCTTACTCTGTACTTGTGGGACATTATTTCACTGGTAGAAATCCTGCTGTTATGTTCTCATTCCCAAGAGAAAAAGAGAGGGGACATGGGAGTCCCAAAGCATATCCTAGATCACCGTGCCCCCTTAGGCTGATCCACAGCCTCTTCTACCACTCTGACTCAAATCAGTCCTCCAGAGTCAAAGGTCCCTTTATGGAGGGTCACTTGTTCCACCTGCTCTGCTAAAAAACAAGAAAGAAGGAATCTTCCCCTAAGCCTCTCCTCACCTCCTCAACAGACCTAGTACTTTTCTTCATGGTGGTGAATGTAACAGGGGTCCATTAGAATCTAAAAGCGCATGCACTCACTATGTATCACAAGTTGTATTTATTACAGAACAGCCACAGGCAGATAATCTGCAAAAAGCAACTATTCTAGAGCCATGTTCTCCCACTAAACACATACCTTTTTCTGTTTAAAAAAAAAAAAAAAACCATTCCTTTCTCAGCTTTCTGGATGAAATAAAATGTAAGAATAACTGTAGAGAGCCACCAGTGCCATTCCCGAAGATGGCGCCGGTTTCCTGTCCATGAGCCAGCAAGGCACGGTTGTTTTTGACAATGCGCATGCATGATCCACGTCATGGGGTGACCGTTACGAGCGTTGCAGGCTGCACCTATCAGTTTAGGACACGACTCCCTAAAGCATATATAAACAGTGCCTTTTTCCTCCTTCGGGGTCTTCCCTCAACTTGCTGTGATGAGCCGCACAATAAACATAGCTGCAGAAGAATCCTGTTGTTGAGCATTGTTCTTGCAGGCAAGGCGATAGCGCTCAACAAGTGGTGCCGAAACCCAGGAACCTGACATCAAGGGCACACGGGTGACCCTTCAGGAGACTGGAGAGGATTCAGAACTGTGGCACAAAGGTAACAAATAAGGTGAGTTCTGATAATCATGCTACTGTTTGGGCTTGATCCTGCCATTGAGGGGTTGATTATTGTGCGTTTGGTTGCCTGCTTGTTTTTACTGTATTTGTTTTGTTTTGAGGAAGCACATGATAGGCAGCTAAAAGCA